CATTCCTGAGCTGTGTCCCCAGGTAAGGATGGGCCCGTCCTGCACTGCGCAGGGAGCACAGATGCCTGAACGCCCCGGGCTGGTCCAAACCTCTTCCCCTGGCCCGGGTGCCCTTCAACCCTCTTCACCTCCCACCAGGCCTTCCTTCAATTCAGGGCAGGTCGGCCCCTCCCAGCTGGGCTGAGGGCATCTACCTCTGTGGCCCGAGGCCTCCTGGGCTGGTCCCTGTGAGCCCCTCCAGGGCAGGTGCTGCGTCCCTTCCAGATCTGGACGCCAGGGGAACACAGGGCCTGGCCTCAGTGTCCACGCAGGAGTGTGTGGAGTGCAGATGGGTGGGGGCTTCGAGGCACACAGGAGGCTGTGTGATGGGTGGGTGGCTGGATGCACGCATTTCGGATGGGAGTAGGCGGGCAGATGGGCAGGTGGCTTGGTGGCTGCACAGATGCCAGGAGGAGAAGAGGTGAGGGTCGCCGACAGAAACGGGTGGGGTGGGGTGGACGGCTGGAGCCCAGGTGTCAAGGTGGTGTCATGGGTTGGGCAGGTGTGTAAACGGCTGGGCAAGTGAGTGGATGAGTGGACAGATGAATATGCTGAGCGGGTCAGGCACGGCCACGTGGGAGCAGATGGACGTGAGTGTGGAAGGTCCGTGGGTGTGGGGGTCAGTGAGTGAGTGAGGGCCCCAGCAGTGGCTCCGTGGCTCTGTGTGAAGGTGCTGGTGGGCTGTGGGGTAGATGGATAGGTGGCAGGTGTTGGGGTGAAGACAGGTTGGCGAGTGCACGGACGTGGCTGTGGGAAGCTTGGCGGATGGACGGGTGTAGGTGGGTGGACAGGTCCCGTGGAGGGCGGTCCGGGCCGGTGATTGCACACCAGCTGGGGTGGCGGGACGAGGCGCTTTTGCTTTAAAGGACGGCCGGGCGTGGCAGGCTCACCTGGCCGGGGCGCACAGCGCCGCCTTGTTGCCGGTGCCCGTGGCCCGCGAGTGCTCCCGGAGGGCGCTGAGCAGCCCGATCTTGGTGGTGAGCAGCTTGTTGTTGGGCAGCTGGAACAGCAGCTGCTCACCTGGTGCGACAGAGCCCGGGCAGCTGTGGCCGGCCGCGGCCGGGCCTCCGCCGCCCCGACCCCGCGGCCGGCCGCTCCGCTACCTTCCCGGAAGCTGTGGTAGCTGTCCCGGCACCTGATCTCACACCACTTCAGCCGGTAGTCCTCCCGCCGGCTGTCCTGGATGCGCTGCCAGCCTTTGCTCTTGCAGTAGGAGCTGATTCTGTGTGTGTGTGTGGGGGGGTGCCAGTGACCCTGGGGGCCTTGACAGCTTGGGGACGAAGGGCACGCCAGGGGAGGGGACATGGGGCCCCAGGTAGCAGCGGTCAGGCTGGGTGGGACCCGGGGCTGTGGGGCTGGGCCTGGTCTGTGCCCCCACTCACATTGAAGCCCCGTTGCTGCCTCCGATGTAGAAGAAGGGGCCACAGCCCGAGCCAGGCGGCAGCTCCCCCCACAGCACGTGCCTCTCCAGGAGGGCGGCCCGGGGCTTCACAGCCGCAGCCTCGTCTGCGAGCGGGTGGGTGGTCAGTGGCCTGGCCGGAGGCTCTCCGCCCCTCCCAGCCCTGCCCGAGCCCACCTGTGTCCTGGTGCGGCTGGCCTGGCTGACGCGGCAGCCCCTCTGCTCGGCTCCCCATCGGCCTCTCATGGGCCCTGCCTGTGAATGGGGTGGGGTTTGGGGGGGTGATGTCCATTCAGAATCGGGCCGGAGCCCAGTCCTGGTGGGCTTCCAGCCGACCCGGCTGGCCCATTTCTGGCAGGCCCCAGGTAGCCTCCCCTGCTGGTCTGGGCACCTCTCATCCCAGGCTCAGGACTCCTGAGAGAGGGGACAGCCACCAGCAGCCCAGGCCAGCCTAGGAAAGGTCAGGGTCCCTCCTTACCAACAGGGCAGAGCTCCATGGGGCTGGAGCTGGGGATAGACGTGACGCAGGGCCATGCCCAGGAGGGTGGGGTCACAATGTCCATCGTGACGTCATGGGTGACCCATGTCTGGCAGGGGGATGGGGCTGCCCTGCCCTGGGCTGGGGGTGGGGGGGCTGCCCTGGGCTGGGGGTGTGGTGGCTGCCAGACTGTGGGGAGCAGCAGTGTCCCTCCCTGTGCCCCTTCAGCCCCTGGTCCTGCCATCGTCCACCCTGCCCAGCTGGCCCCTCTCCCAGGGTGTGGCTGTGTGTCGCCCCCACGAGAACACCTTTCCTGGGGAGGCCCCGGCTCGGGGGCAGAGCCTGTGCTGGCGGCACTCACCGGGCTCCCGCGGGCAGCTCCGTCGGGCGCGGGCGACCCCTGACCGCTTGCCTCTCTTGGCGCCAGCCTGGGTCCGAGTGGGTCCCCTGCGGCGAGTGAAGCGAGTGTGGCTTCTCCTCACAGGCGTAGGGGCACCAGGGCAGGGGCACCTCTGCGAAGACGCCGTCCCCACCCTTCTGCGGGGCCTCCGAGCAGCCCGTAGTCCCAGCCTTTGGACCGGGCGCATGGTCAGGCCTGCTCTGCCTGGGGAGGGGCGCCTCCTGGGGTCTTGGGCTTGGGTTTCTGCTTGTGGCTGGCTCCTGTCTCCATGGTGACCGTGGGGCCAGGTGCCCCTCCGAGGCAGGGCTGTCTCTGCATCTTTTGTGTCCCAGGCGAGGCGTCTCCTGCAGGGACCGTCCGTCTGGCTTCGCGGTGCTCTGCCGACATGCCGGCTGCAAGGAGGGTCACCGTCAGGCGTCTGGGGCTCGGGGGCCGGAGGGGCACCCAGGTCCTGAGTTGCAGCAGCTCTGCGGTGGCCGGGCGGCGAAGTGCCCGCAGCATCCTCGTGGCTGCCCAGGCCCCACCCCCAGGCGGCTTGTCCCCTGGAGCCCCTTTTCCCTGCAGCTAACTCAGCGTTTCTGGGAGGTTCCTCAGTGGGTCCTTCCTGGCCTGGGGGTGGGGAGGGGACAGGGGCTTTCTGAAAGATTGGGAGACACAGCGATGGCGAGGCAAGCACACTGAGGAGCTGGCGGCACCCGCACCCGGGCCGGCAGCGCATGTTCCTGGGGGCACCGTGCAGAGCAGCTGGCTGGCCTCCAGGCAATGCCGGCAAGGCCTCGGGTCCTGCTTGGGACCGAGGAGGAAGAAACTGGGAAAAGCTGTGTACCGAGTCCCGGGAGCTGGGCGGGCAGGAGACCCTCAGCCTGCCAGGCCTGGGCCGCGTGGGCCGAGCAAGCCTGCCCTCCCTCCCCAGCCAGGACCGGACGGCACCTGGGAGGAGGCCAGTGCTCGGGCCAGACCCGCCGAGGGCCCCCGCTCACATGCCATTCTCCAGAGGCGGGGGACCCCAGCCCTTTCCCACTGTGGGTGGGGGTCCCCCAAGATACTAACATTCAGCACCTTCGCCACCAGGTCAGTGGGCATCTGAGGGAGGCCCCAGGGGTGAGCGACGGGTAGACACCCAGACACTCAGACATGGCTGTCACACACACGAAGGAGGAAGAGGAGGGGGAGACAGGGTGGCTCAGAGCCGAGGGACCCGGCCCCTAGAGCACACTGCGGTGGGGCAGGAGACGCCAGGCCCCTCAAAGGATGGGCACCTAAGAGCTCGTGGGAGTTAGAGATGCTACATACGGGTCACAAGTCAAGGCCAGGAAGATGCCAGAAGAGAGGACGCGGGAAGCAGGAGGGAGGTGGAGAGGGCGAGGGAGACGCCCAGCGAGGGGTCGGGGCCTCTGGGAGGGGCTCTGAGCATCGCTGCCCTCGCAGGGCGCCCCAGCATGCCCCTCCTCCACCCTTCACCTGTGAGGTGCGGTCAGCAGCACAGAAGCAAGTGCGGACCAGGCCCGTCTGTGGCGGGAGCGAGGGGTGAGCCCGTCGCCTCACAGCCCGGGCCCACCGCCTGCGCAGGGCCCCAAAGGGAGGTGGCATACCGGTGGGGACCCCGTTTTTTGCCTGTATTTGGTGCTTCTAATTCTGCATATTCATTATTTTGCCGAAGCATAAGGCCACAGCTATATCGCTTGTCATTCAAATTAACCTGTGTCTGGCGGGAGCTGAATGGGGGACATGCTCTGCGAGCCCTCCGCTCTGTTGGGCGCTTGGCAGAGCCCCTCAGGAGCCATGATTTTAAATGCAGACGGCGCTTTACGCTCAAGGTGTGACGACAAGTTTGCAGTGGGCAGACCGCGGGACGGCTCGCTAGGACCGTGCCGGGAGGGCTTGACCGAAAGCCCGACCTCCCAACAAACTTTGAAAGAAACTTTCTACCTGGTCAGGTAAAAAGACCGGCAGGAAGCAGCACCGCGGCGTGGTGGACGGGAAGCCCTCGAGCACCTGGAGAAAACGCCCAAGCAAAGGGGAAGACGTCAGTGTCCCGCCGGCCGACCCCCCGAACGCCTGGCCGCGTGGGCGCTGTGGACACAGTGCTGACTTTGTTCGACGGGCTGGCGCCTCCCGGCCGCGAGCGGGCTGTCCGCGGGGACGTGGGTCCCCACGTGAGTCAGGGGGCGCACCCTTCCCGGCCCGGCCCGGGGGCTCCTCGCGCCGTGGCCCTGGGCGCATGGGCCCTCCCTGGAGGGGGCCTGGCCGGCCAGGCCGCCCTTTCCCTGCCTTCCGTGTCCTCGTCTCTTTCCTGCTCCTGGGCAGTGTCCCCAGAGGACCTGCAGGGTCCCTGGTGGCTGGGCGGGTGCACAGGACAGCAGGCCCCAGCCCTCATGCCCAGCCAGGACCCCTGCCGTTGGCCCACCTGTCCCTCTTACCTGCCGCAGGAGCTGGTGTGAGCTTCCTGCCCCGGAAACAACAGTGGTGACCGGGCAACCGTATCCCGGCAACCGTCTCCGGGCACTCGCCTCCCGGCAACGTCCACCCAGAGGCCCAGAGGTGTGGGCCCACCCCAGATGGTGGGGCCGGGTGCCCGGGAGCTGGGGCTCCCTTCTCCCCAGGGTCACCCCTGGCCTCTCAAGACCCCCAAGCCCATCCCGGACCTGGGACCTGGCCCCATGTGTCTGCATTTGCTGCGCTTCAGGGCTGCACAGCCCAGCATGTGGGGTACCCCCTGTACCAAACAGCAAGTGGGGTGCAGCAAGGCAGTGCCCGTGCCAAGGGGAAGCGTGCTCAGGCCTGAGGCCCCACCTCTGCTGTCCAAGCCCACGGGGTCACAAAGGTGTCTGCTCTGGGGGCCTTTACTTGCTTCTGGTAGGGCCGGGAGGGGGCCCCAAAATGTGTGCCCATGTCCTAAGCCCCGGAACCTGCCCAAGTGAGCTCATTTGGCTTCTGGTAGGGCCGGGAGGGGGCCCCAAAATGTGTACCTGCCCAAGTGAGCTCATTTGTGACTGAGGTGAGGGTCTCGAGATGAGATCCTGCTGGATTATCTGGGGGCCCCTAAACCCGGCGACCTGTGTGCTCGTAACAGGGAGGCAGAGAACAGGGGACACGGAGGGGAGAAGCCCCGTGAAGATGGGGGCAGCGGCTGGAGAAACGAGGCCACAGCCCAGGGACGCCGGGAGCCACCGAGGCCTTGGCCGGGAGCGGCAGGAAGGGCCGTGCCCTGGAGCCTCAGAGGGGCCCCCCATCCCACCTCCGTTTCTGGCTCTGGACTCCTGAGCTGAGGGCATGCGTGTCTGTTGTTCCAGGCCACCCAGCCTGTGGTCGTTTGACACGGGGGCCCAAGAAGACGCATGTAACCCTTAAGCCCTTCCTCACTTTCAAGGGTCCCACATGGCACCCCCACTATGGGGAGGTCTCCCTGACCCCACAGAGGCAGCTGTACCCCAAGTTCCATACCTGCCCCTGCCAGGCACCAGGGGACTTCAGGGGTCAGTCCGGCTGGACTGTGGTCTGGGACCCCTGTGGCCTGCAGCAGCCGCGGGTCAGCCTGGGGAGCGGAGCGTTCCGGCCAAGCCCTCGGCTGGGTGGTCAGGGCACCCTGGCCTTAGTGGCTAGGGCTTCTGGGGCATCAGCGGGGTGGCAGTGTGGCCCTTGGTCATCTGTAAGCTGTTCCCCTCCCCCTCGGCCTGAGCAGACCCTTGGAACGCCAGGCCGTCCTCCCTTGGGAGCCCACGCCACGGCCCCATGTCACCTCGTAGGGTCGGACCCCTTGGAAGCCCCAGGCTCCTGGGCCAGCCCAGCATCAGGTGTGCGGGTCCCTCCCTCCGCCACCTGCTCAGGGAGGCCTCCCGAGAGTGACTTCACTGGAGCTGGAGAGGCGGCCCCCTGCCTGCCTGACCCTGAGCTCAGACTGGAAAACCGCCTCACAACCCGAAAAACCGGTTGGAGAGGTGCTGCCCAGCCCCACAAGAGCAGCTGCAGCCTGGGGCGACCCAGCCCCGCAGGCACACTCCCCTGGGGACGGGCGGGCAGCAGGGGCCTTGTGGCTGGGTGAGTGCCAGAGGCAGGAGGGACGGGGGACGGGGGACGGGGCGAGGGCCCAGCACTTGCCCTACAGTGCCCCCAGGCAGGTCAGGCTCCGGCCTGTGGAGCTGGCTCCTTCAGGCTCCTTCAGGCTCCTTCGCTAGGGCCGGGCCAAGCCCCCCAGACGCTGGCCCAGGCGGCCTCCAGCCCCCAGGTCTCTGCTGGGTCCCTGCCTTGGTCGTACCCTCAGAGAAGCCTTCCTGGGCTGCCCTCACCCGCTCTGGCTGTTCTGGAAGTGTGCCCGTGCAGTGTGTTCAGGGGAGATTCGGGGAGGGAGGGAAGGAGGGAGAGGGTCCCCTGCAGGAGCCCGGGGGGCTGTTGCCCTGATTCCAGCCGCGGGGCAGTTGGGCCGGTGCAGGGCCTGGGGCTTTGTGTTCAGCGGGGCCTTTGCAAAGCGTGGCTTAGGGCCCTGGGATGCGCTGGGAGCTCTCAGAAGCGGCTCTGGGGCGCAGCCACAAGGCTGGGGTGGGGTCAGCATCAGAGTCTGGTTTTGGGGACAGCTTTAGACAGAGGACAAAAGTGCGGGGGGGTGTTGAGGGGGCCGCGTGGCACCTGGAGTGCCCCCTCCCCCACTACCCGAGATCCGGACAGGCCGTGGGGACCCAGTGGAGTCCCTCGGCTGACACCCTGGGCAGGAAGGGGCTGGGTGGCCGTATCCCTGCCCGCCTCACCCCTCCCTCCCCGAGCTTCCTGCTCCAGGCCAAGGGTGGGGCGAGGGCAGCCCAAGGGCTCTGGGGCCCTGCTGGCCACGGGTGCGCCCCCCCATTCTGGGATTGGGGGTTAGAGGGGTGAGCGCTGCTACTGTCTGGTGCTCCAGAGGGCCCCCTGCCCAGTAAAGGTGTGGGGGGGGCGAAGGATGAGGTCACCGCCCTGGAGAGGGTTCCAGGTGGGGGTCCAGGGCTGGGGTGACTGCACTCCCTTTTCTTCTGGCCCAGTGGCAGTGCCATCTGCTCACAGACCCTCTGGGCTGCTGTGGGGCGGGCTGTGCCTTGACAGCCCACCACCCGTGCATGTGAGATGAACAGAAGCCAGCTGCCTGGACCTCACACCTTTATTAAACCAACAGTCCATCACTCTGTGGCAGAAAGTCCACTGAGGGGTCAAAGGGCTCCCCATTCCGGGTCGTGGGTGGGAGGGCACGGGATGTCCCAGCGTGGCCTGTGTCCTGGGAGGCATCCAAGTGTCCCAGGCTTGGGCAGATGTGCACCACCTGGCTTCGGGCCACTGCGGGGCCCCATGAACTGCGCCTTGTGTCCACCCGGCATCCGGCGGCGACCAGGCCATGGATGGACGGCATTACCAGACAGTATTAGACAGAAGGACCCAGGTCTAACCGTGTCTGGTAAGACGCCCATCGCAGGCTGCGGTGCAGGTGGCCTTGCGTGTGGTGGCCCCTCCAGCTGGGCCCAGGGGCAGCTTCTCCTGCTGCCTGTCCTGTGGGCCCCTCCTGTGGGTCCCGAGGGAGCGGAGGGTTCAACTGGGTGGTAAGACCCCTGGCCTCCTGAGTGTTCACAGTGGCCCCGGAGGCCTCAGGCCAGGGCCTCACAGGATGCGCCTGGCTCCCAGGCTGCTC